AACCTGAAGAAGAAGTTCCAGTGTGTGTTTGAGGGAATCGCTAAAGCAGGAAGTCCAGCCCTCCTGAACCAGATCTACACAGAGCTCTACATCACAGAGGGAGGAACTGGAGAGGTCAACCAGGAACATGAGGTCAGACAGATTGAAACAGCAAACAGGAAAAACCACAAAATGGAAACAACAATAAAACTAGAAGACATCTTTAAAGTCCCATCTGGAAGAGATCAACCAATCAGAACAGTGATGACAAAGGGAGCAGCTGGTATTGGAAAAACAGTTTTAATACAGAAGTTCACTCTGGACTGGGCTGAAGACAAAGCCCACCAGAACATCCACTTCATATTTCCATTCACCTTCAGAGAGCTGAATGTGCTGAGAGAGAAAAAGTTCAGCTTGGTGGAACTGATTCATCACTTCTTTACTGAAACCAAAGGAATCAGTAACTTTGAACAGTTCCAGGTTCTGTTCATCATTGACAGCTTGGATGAGAGTCGACTTAAACTGAACTTTGATGATAATCTGATCCTGACTGATGCTACAGAGTCCAGCTCAGTGGATGTTCTGCTGACAAACCTCATCAGGGGGAAACTGCTTCCCTCTGCTCTCCTCTGGATAACCACACGACCTGCAGCAGCCAATCAGATCCCTCCTCAGTGTGTTGGCATGGTGACAGAGGTCAGAGGGTTCAATGACCCCCAGAAGGAGGAGTACTTCAGGAAGAGATTCAGAGATGAAGATCAGGCCAACAGGATCATCTCCCACATCAAGACATCTAAAACTCTCCACATCATGTGTCACATCCCCGTCTTCTGCTGGATGACTGCTACAGTTCTGGAGGAAATGATGGAGACCAACAAAAGAGCCATACTCCCAAAGACCCTGACTGAGATGTACATCCACTTCCTGGTGGTTCAGACCAAAGTGAAGAAGGTCAAGTATGATGGAGGATCTGAAACAGATCCACACTGGAGTCCAGAGAGCAGGAAGATGATAGAGTCTCTGGGAAAACTGGCTTTTGATCAGCTGCAGAAAGGAAACCTGATCTTCTATGAATCAGACCTGACAGAGTGTGGCATCGATATCAGAGCAGCCTCAGTGTACTCAGGAGTGTTCACACAGATCTTTAGAGAGGAGAGAGGGCTGTACCAGGACAAGGTGTTCTGCTTCGTCCATCTGAGTGTTCAGGAGTTTCTGGCTGCTCTTCATGTTCATCTGACCTTCATCAACTCTGGTATCAATCTGCTTGAGGAATGTAAGACAGAAGATAAAGAATCAGCACTGGCTAATTTACATCAGAATGCTGTGGACAAAGCAGTAGAGAGTCCAAATGGACATCTGGACTTGTTCCTCCGCTTCCTCCTGGGTCTTTCACTGCAGACCAATCAGAGACTCCTACAAGGTCTGCTGACACAGACAGGAAGTAGCTCAGAGACCAATGAGGAAACAGTTCAGTATATCAAGGAGAAAATCAATGACAATCAGTCCGTAGAGAAAATCATCAACCTGTTCCACTGTCTGAATGAACTGAAAGATCGTACTCTAGTGGAGGAGATCCAACGGTCTCTGAGTTCAGGACGTCTCTCCACTGATAAACTGTCTCCAGCTCACTGGTCAGCTCTGGTCTTCATCTTACTGTCATCAGAAAAAGACCTGGATGTGTTTGATCTCAAAAAGTATTTCTCTTCAGAGGAGGCTCTTGTGAGGCTGTTGCCTGTGGTCAAAGCAACACAAAAAGCAGTGTAAGTAAACCTGAAGAAATGTAGAGAAAACTTTACTTTTGCCTTATCATTTTAGTCTAACATGATTTCTATTTTTTTAGGATGAGCGGCTGCAATTTCTCAGAGAGAATCTGCGAACCTCTGTCTAATATTCTGAGCTCTCAGTCCTCGTGTTTAAGAGAATTAGACTTGAGTAACAACAATCTAAGGGATTCGGGGGTGGAGCTGTTGTGTGATGGACTAAAAAGTTCACAATGCATGTTGGAGATTCTAAGGTAAAATATTTTTTGTTTGCTGATTTACTGACTAATGTTCAGTTTTCTGTCCTTTCCATTGTCGCTGTGTCTCAATTTATTTAAAGACCAAATCCATTTTGCTGTCTTTGATATGATAATGAAACCTGCGTTAGAGAGCTTGCTCGGACAAATGTTTGAAATTCTTTGCATCCTTTTTCCATCTGTAGCCTCTCAGGCTGCCTGATCACAGTGAAGGGCTGTACTCCTCTGGCCTCAGCTCTGAGATCCAGCCTCTCCAGTCTAAAAGAGCTGGACCTGAGCTACAACCATCCAGGAGATGCAGGAAAGAAGCTGATAGAGGCAGGGAGGAGTCCACAGTGCAAACTTAAGTAAGGAGACGCAATAATCAGCTGTAGTATCTGATAAGGATGAAGAAGATCTGTAAACATTTTCTTCTACCTTCATCTTACCTCTGTTGTTGTGATCTAAGTCATAAAAAATCATTTTGAAGAGCTAGCTATATAACTCTTTATCTCAGTGTCTGAGAGACATGTAATGTCCATGTGTGCTTTGTGAAAGAGACTGATGGTCTGTCTCTACCTCCTCCTTTCAGGGTGGAGCCTGCTGGGGACCGATGGATGACACCAGGTCTGAGGAAGTGTGAGTGTTTTTCATTTGATTCATGTCAACGAAGCAGCTCACATCACTCATTCAAGCATCACCATCAAAGGATTAATAAATGATCAATATCTACAATGTGTTTGTTTTCTCCATCAGATTCCTATCAACTCACCATCGACACAAACACAGTGAGCGGAAAACTCAGGCTGTCTGAGGACAACAGGAAGGCGACCCGTGTGGAGGATGTTCAGCCTTATCCTGACCATCCAGACAGATTTGATGTTATGCCTCAGCTTCTGTGTGCAGATGGTCTGACTGGTCGCTGTTATTATGAGGTGGAGATTGGAAAAGGAGTCGATATATCACTCAGCTACAAAGGAATTGGGAGGAAAGGAGACACCAGTGACTGCCGGTTTGGAATGAATAATCTTTCCTGGAGTTTGATCCGCTCTGATCGCCATGGCAACTGTCTCTGGCATAATAAGTCAGGAACCTCCATCTCCTCCTCCTCTGTCTCTAACAGAGTAGCCGTCTATGTGGACTGTCCTGGTGGAGTTCTGTCCTTCTACAGAGTCTCCTCTGACTCCCTGATCCACCTCTACACCTTCAGCACCACCTTCACTGAACCTCTCTACCCTGGATTTGCAATCTTCTCTAATTCCTCTGTTTCTTTAATCTGAAGAGCCTAAGAAAAGGTCTGCTGCCCTTTTTCTACAGCCTAGTTTAGCTTGACTTTCTGAAAGAACGCTAAAAGGAGATGTTGACAAAAATGGGTTTTTACATTCAACTAAAATGTAGCTACTCTTGCTGCACTGGGCTTTACAGTGGTGACTGACAAACTATAATCCAGTTTGTCTGTATTCGTCCCTTGCAGAGACTGAACAGCTTATTTAAAGAAATAACAAGGTGTTTTCAGGTCATTAAGTGAAAAAAGTGAAAACTGTTTCACATTCTCTTTCCACCATACATATATTACCGTAAAACACTTTTTTACTTTCATGTACTTATTTTTTTGTTTTGTTCTTGTAAATGTTTTTGTAAACTTTTATGATTGCAATTATTTTTGGTTTATTTGCTATAATCCATGTAAATTCTCTAATGTAACTTGAGAGAATGAAAAGAATACTAAATGGTGTGAAAGTTTTCTCCTTGAATTGCATTTTAAGTTTCTTGACAAAATCTTCTTTAAAACACTTTTTTACATTCATGTGCTCATTTTGTTTTGTTCTCATATTTTTGTTTTACTTTCTCTAAATATCTAAACTCTTAACTGTAGTTTATTTAGGCAAAGTTGCTGTTTTATAGAACTGAATAAAATGTAGAGTTGGTGATTTTTTTATTTGTTTTGTACATGCATAAATATGTTTTATGCTTGAATGCAGTGAATCCTAAAGAAGTTCCACTACTGTTAATTTTGCTTATTTTTCTCTTTATTTTTCAGTTTTATCATATATGAGTTTTTTGGTTCTTGATGCTTTTTATGTACCTCTCTATTAAGTTTATTTTTCTGTATGCTTAGCCAGAGATCCTGAATTAATATAGATTTGTTTTCATGTTTAACAGAGAAGATTAATGTGAAATAGAGTTTATTACAGTAAATTACATCCTACCTATGAAAACATGTACTCTCTAAAAACCAGGAAGATTAAAGATCTTAAATGTTCTTTAATGATTATTTGTGTTGTGGGCACTGGACTGTAAACAAAGACAGAATATTGACTTTTTTTATAAGTAGAAACATGAAACCATGTTAAACTCACACACGTTCCTCATTTAATGCACCAATTTAATGTAATTTGTTAAGGCTGGTTTTGGCTTTGTAATTTTTTCTGTTAGTTTTTTCTTTCAGTTTTGCTTTGTTCCATTTTCACTTCAGCTCTTTCTTAGCGATTCTAGTTTATTATGTTTATTTCTAGTTATTCCTTGTCACTTTAGTTTAATTCTGCCTCTTTAGTTATTCTTTCATGTTAGATTTATTCCTGTGTCCTCTCCCTCTCTCTGTCCTCAGCCTCACACCTGCTACTCGTTAGCTCAACATTCAACCTCCCCAGTATCTCAGCCTTTCTTTCTCAGTCACTACTCGCTGGATCCTTTTGTCTGTCCTCATCACTGCTTCTCTCCACCCTGTGTTTTTCCTCATCTAGATGATTTTTTTGGGATTATCTATGTTTTGCCCTCCTGTGGTTTTTTGTTATTTTATTTTGTGTTGCACCCTTTTTTTAAAATAAAATAATCAAAATTAATGGCTGCCTTCGTCTCTGCATTTTTGTCCAACACCAACCTGGTCATGACATAATTGTGTGAAGGGAAGTCTAAGATCTTTTGCCTGATTTATGGATCAATACTTTCATTTTACTAATGCATAGGCATTCTCTCCAATTGGACAATACTTTCTTTGGACAAATTTTAACATAAAATAAGCATGTAAGTTAGGTTTTAATAAAATATCTTTAACCCTTTTATTTTTATGTAAAGTTTTAAGTGTAATATTGACTGTAAAATCAGCTTTCAGAGCCTTTGGTTTCTGGTTTAAAACCTGCTTATGCACCAAGTTAGCATGTTTCCTCTACCCATTTTCTCCAGCTTCCTGTTCATATCTTCAGTGTAAACTAAATAACCAGTTATTCTTAAATGTTCCCCTAGAACTGTTAAACATTGTCTCTCCTCCCAGAATTCACCATAAAACTTAAGGTCAAGCTTGAGATTTTCAGAAGTCCTGTTTTCATGTCAGGACAAGCAGTAGACCACAAAATGCAAAGAATCTTATGTTTTTATTTTTAAAGGTCTAACATCAGCATGTCAGTCTCTATAGAGAATTCTTGCAATTGATTTTGTGCTTATTTTTTATTTTATTTTGTGGTGCTTCTGTAGAAATATTTGCATTGATCTTTCTTTATTAAACTTCTTCCAAAATCTACATATAGAAGAAAAAAAGATTTAAAAATTGAAAGCTTGAACACACAAACATTTTTTATTCTTTAATGAACATGAATAACTCATTCAGTTTTTTTTACTCTGTTGATCACAGGTTATAACTTGACATCAAGAAAGTCTGAGGCAGCAGTGAAGTAGAGTTAAATACTGCCCCCTGCAGGTGAGCATTAACATCACTTAAACCTAACGCTTTAGACAATTTTTGTCAAATTTGAAATAAACATAATTATATATTAGCGTAGAGATATGTTGCTCTTGCACAAATTTCTGTGCCCATGGAATTACAATAAAAAAAAATAAAAAAAACTGGAGTGACTGATATGTATAACATCACAGATGGAAGCAAATATTTCACAAGTAAAAGACTTTAAAATGGAAAATAAATAAAATCATTAAAATATTACATTTTCTATATTAACATGACAAAAGATATACAGATTCATAACTGTTTAATACAAACTTACAAGGCAAATGGAACCCCACCTTATTATAAGGAGTAAAGTAATTATTTAATCACCAAAGAAAGTTTGGCATTTTATAATAATAATAATAATAATAATAA